AAAAAAAAAAAATCATAGTAATAGGAAATTTTCCCCACCCGTTTCAGATATTTTCCCATCTATGCGTATGAGGAATTATTTTAAAGGTGGTCCCCATGTACGCACGGTAAGTTTCCCATCTATTGTTGTGTAAGTTGTTCCTTGCCAAACATCAACTTTAAAGGTGGTCTCCCCAAGACATTCTTCTTGTTCCTCTAATATCTTATATGCAGAAAGCATGGCTGAGTCCGAACATTTATTAAAGTAGATCTTCCTAAGCGTGGTTATATCCCCAATTTCCAATGGAATCTCCTTCAGCTTGTCTAGAAACTCTAGGTCGAGCTGCTCGAGACGCGGGAAGGGCGTGGCCTCCGCCCACCACTGTTCCAGTTCAGAGCACCCACGGATTCGCAAGTATTTCAGGCTCTGGAATCCGCCCTCGGATGTTTTCCACTCGGGCCCCACGAACGCACCAAACCATAGATCGAGGTCCTCGAGAAATGGCAACGACCCTATTTTTGTCCCCATCTCCTCCCACCCCAGCCGAGTGTCTCCCAGAGTCAGCTTCCTGAGTGTAATCGGGAACGACGTCACCTCAATTCCTCGGGAGAGTGATGTAGCGCATATAATATCAAGGTCCTCCAGCTCGCGTAGCCTACAGAGATTGTCAAGACCGGATGCTGATTCCAATTCCATCTCCTTGTTGTTGTAAAATATTCTCAGGTTCCTGATATTAGGGATTCTCTCAACCACGTTACCACTCAACCTTAAGTTATATACGGGCTTCAGCGTCTCTAGATTCTCTAACACCATCCGATCACCATTTTCTTCTTCTTCATCCATTGGAAGAGGAGGAGGATCCGTGACCCGGAGATCCCGTACCATGACGTGCCTGAGTTGGGGCATCCGCCAGATGTCCAGCAACGGCTTCTTGCCAACCCAGGGCCAATAAACTATTATTGTCCGTAAATTCCAGAGTAGGTAAAATTCTGGAGGAAATTCAATCGGCAGTTTAGCTTCGATGACCAAGTGGCGCAAGTTGACCAGATGGAAATGTTCTTCGAGCCGATCTTTGCCCGTCTGTTCAAAAGATGAAATTCTTTTCTTTCCATTCTGAGTCCGAACAAATTTACACCTTACATTCAGAATCCTCAGCAATCTTAAGGGAACTACAGATGGTAAAATTCCATCAACGTTCCATATCAGAGTTCGCGCTCGTGATGCGGATTGCACAGCTTTAGGGAGTTGTCGGAGAATGTATTTACCGGCTGGGCGAATGCAGATACGGCGTTGGGCGTGCCAGCTTTGGTCGTGGTCAGGGATGTGCATTGTTTCCATCGTGCGAAAGAATTTGTATTTCTCTGCTTCCTTTATGCATAGGTCTCTCAGGAGATCGTGGATGCCGCACCGGTCTATTCTTCGAGTAGGGCCCCATTTACGAACGAAGATCAGGTTTCTGAGGACAAGCTCATGTAGGTACACTACTCTGGCAACTGTTTCTGGACTTTTACCCGCCACCGATTTCACAAATCCTTCATCAACCCATAGACTGATGAGCGTGGTGGCATCAATCCAGTCGTCCTCCGAGAACATGGCAATGTAAAGAAAACACGGCTTAAGGTGGACAGGCAGTTGATTATAGCTCAACTTTAGTATTTTAAAACAATTCTCGTCATCCTCTAAATTTATGGTCGAGCTTAAATTTTCTGCCACTTGTTTCCACTTTTCCTGTGTCTGTTCAGACTTTGCTAGGAGTCCTCCGATCACGACAAGTGACAATGGAAGGCCTCCGCAGTTCTTGGCAATGTCCTTCCCAGTCTCTTCCAATTCCGGCGGGCACCTTTGTTCCTGAAACACAAACCTACGCAGCAGATTCCAACTTTCGTCCAGCTTCAGAAAAGA